CCCCCCCCCTCTACAACAACCACCCAGCCTACGCAGCATTTCTATCCTGGGGCAGATGCTGTGTAAACCATGGCTTGCATTCCCCAAAACTCTACAGGTACCCTTTGCGGTCGCCGGAAGCATTCCCAAATGTTTGTAATTAACATAAGTTACGGGCTGCTGTTTTTGTGTGCAACAACAACAACAATAACAACAACAACAACAACAACAACAACAACAACAACAACAACAACTACAACTACTACAACTACAACTACAACTACAACTACAACTACAACTACAACTACAACTACAACTACAACTACAAGTACTACTACTACTACTACTACTACTACTACTACTACTACTACTACTGCTACTACAACTACTACTGGTACTGGTACTGGTACTGGTACTGGTACTGGTACTGGTACTGGTACTGGTACTGCTACTGCTACTGCTACTGCTACTGCTACTGCTACTGCTACTGCTACTGCTACTGCTACTTCTACAACAACAACAACAACTACTACTACTACTACTACTACTACTGCTACTACTACTAGTACTACTAGTACTACTAGTACTACTACTACTACTACTACTACTACTATTACTACTACCACCACTGCCTACGACGACGACATCGACGACGACGACTACTCGTGCTACCACTGCTGCTGCTACTGCCACTCGTATGTGCCACTGCTACCATGGCTGCAAATCCTGCTGCTACTGCCGCTGCGGCTGCTACTGCTAGACGTATTTGCACAAGTGCTCGTGGTGATTGTTCACGTTCGTGCGCGGTGTAGGGCTACAGAATCTGGGCTAGGGTCTGGGCTGTGTCAGACCAGTACCGGACATGAGCACGAAACCTGTAATTACAAGCCAAGCGGCTGAAGAGAAGTCTTTACGCGCCTGCTCCGTTCGTAACGTTGTGGACGAGTTCGTGCCTGCTTGCTGTAGCGAGGCGGCTAATGCCAAAGCAGAACTTCCAACGCAAGCAGCACACGAAAAACACAGCCTTAATGATTTTATCCATGCGGAGGTCCGAGTCCAGACTGTAAAGCTAGTTGTTCGAGGGTCACAGAGCAGCTGCCACAATGCAGAGAAGGAACGCACAAAGTTGGTAACGGGATTCACAATAGCATTCGCCAAGAAGGTCGGCCAGGAAACATTATTACGAAACGTACAAGTAGTGGAAGTGTTCGCACTTTTTTCATGCAAACCGTCTCCATCATCCCCATCATCCTAATCGCCATCATCATCAGCATTTGCATCATCATCATCATCATCAACACCGTGCTCAGCAGCGTCATCATTATTGCCACAACCAGCCTCATCCTCGCCATCAACATGCATGTAGTGATGATAGCTTGAGCAACCGCACTACTGCCTCGAAACGGTGCCTGGGGTTGCATGTCTGCAAGGCCTCTGCGAATAAAAAGGTTCCCAAGCCACCAACCAAAAGCCCACAACGGTGAAACCGAGCCTTCGATTCGGAAATTATCTACGCCGCTGTCGTTTCTTGTGAGATACAACGAGAGCCCACAGGGTTAGGAGCTAGGAGCATGCTTCTTCGCAAACCGCTTCGAAACCTTGCCGTATTAAACTCCCAGGCGTGTTCGATACAATTGTGTAGATGCAAAACCCGGTTTGGGCTTCAGGGTTTCTGGCCTGGGCCTTACAAACCCGAAACCCTTGCCCCAGTTGCTCGAACTATCCATCTCCGTTCAGGCAAGAGTCTGTAGAACACCTCTCCGCTTGCCACGAAGAGCATGGCCGAACATTTTCGCCCAAAGGAGAACAGAACCTGCGGATTGATGCGGGTTAAGGGGTTTAGGGTGTAGGGGTTTAGGGGTTTAGGGTTTAGGGTTTAGGGTGAAGAACATGAAAACAAACACGTGGGAAGAAAAACCTGGTTGTGATGATGCAGGGCTGAGGTTTGGCTCAACTACGCTTGTGGTATTGCTCTGCTTGACCTTTCGAGCATCAGGACCTCCTGGGGTGCGACGTTCCAGTCGCTGATGCACTCCACGCACACTTCGGTGTAGAAGGCCGCGTAGCGCATTTGGAGCCCAAGGAGGAAGTCCTGAGACATAACAACAATAACAACAACATAAACAAACACGTGTGATAATATTACCCATAGCAATAGTAGGTTATTCAATTTAGGCTATCTACAGGGCAAGTCATCCCAGGCTCCCTTGCCCCTCAACCCTTAACAAACACCCTAAGGATACCCTACCCTTACCCTTCAACCCTGAAGCCTTGAACAAGAGACCCCAGCCCCTGAACCCCGAAGCCTGTCGTCCCTAAACTCTTAAATCCCTAAACCCTAAACCCCTAAACCCTAAACCCCTAAACCCTAAATCCCTAAACCCTAAATCCCTCAACCCAACCCTAACCCCTAAACCCTAAACCCTTAAATCCTAAACCCTCGCCCTTGGAGTCGAGCATCATGCTTCGCAAGGAGCGGGGACCACGCTTCCCGGCAGAGCTCCCGATAGAGGAAATCCTGGGACTGCATCTGGTTTTGGTTTAAAATTGAAATTGAACCACTTGAGCAGGGCTTGTTCTTGCGGATCTTGAGGAACCTAGCTTTGTTATCATTTTCCAAATCGTACATAATATGCTTGCTTATGACGGGAGCTTATAATATTCGGTTCCTTCAAAGGTCTTGGTCTGGCTCCCAGCCTCCATGGCATGTCACCAGCATGTAACTGGAATCCACATCCCCGTGTTGTGGTGGTAGGAGTAGTAGTAGTAGTAGTAGTAGTAGTAGTAGTAGTAGTGGTAGTAGTGGTAGTAGTAGTAGTAGTAGTAGTAGTAGTAGTAGTAGTAGTAGATGTCTCAGCCTGCATATGCAGGTACTAGACTCCACTACGACTACCAAGACGACAATCACTACTACAAGCACGGCCACTAATATTTCTGCTTCGGCTACTTCTGGCTCTACTTCTACTTGTACTGCCACTGCTTCCACTACAACAACCACTACTCCTACTGCATAACGATCGCCATTACCAGCACTGCTGCGACTGGCAGTCAGTGACAACTCCTCCCACTGCTCTCCCTATGCTTACCACAACATACGACGCTTCACAGCCCAAGGGTTTGGATAACACTTACTACAAAGGTTACTAAGAGGGATACCATAATTAGGGGTTGCTGTCAGGTTATTAACGGCTTCTATATACAGGTTTACCACAAGCCATACTTCTTGTTTCTTCTATTACAAAGAACCTGCGCTCTGAGCGGCTGGGAGCAGAGTTGCCATCTCGTTCTTGCCGGGTGGGTGGACCTGCCAGCATGATTTATGATTTATCCAACAGGTGTTACCTCCTGCTTGGTTATCTTTGCTTTCTTCTGCATGCTATCTTATCTCTCTGTTTACGTGTATATGTATATGTATATCTATATATATATATATATACTCACACTTGTGAACAGATGCGCGTATCAATGTGTACATATGCACGAATACATGTACTTATCATGGATGTATGTTTATGTATATATACAATATATGTAGACATATATGTACGCATAAACACACACATCTATGTATGTATACATATATATGTATACACACATACATATATATATATTGTAAGTATGTGTGTGGCATGACCATATCTGGCTTCGACATGCAGGGCTTAGAACCTGGAATCCGGATCGTGTTAGAAATGTCCGAAGATGTAGTGTAGCAGAAGTGTGCCAGATAAGGTCCGCAGTCCAAATTTGGAGCACTGTCCACAACTTGCCCGCGGGCTTCGAGGGAACATCCTTATGTATCATGTCCGTCAGATACTTGTAGTGGCAAATGGTAGTGACACCAGTACCAACAATGGGCAACACAACGAGCAGCACGACCATCTAACTTGTCGCCCGTTGTCGTTATCATCGTCGGCATCATCATCTTGCATCATGGCTATCACCAGCATGGTCGTCGCCATGATCCTGTTCCATAAATCATAAAACCTGAAGCCCAACACCTAAACCACCATCATCGTCGTCCCCAAACCCTACACCCTAAACATCATTATCATCATCGTCGTCGTCGTCCCCGGAACCAATATCAAGCAAGTCAAGCCGAAACACAAGAGTCTTCCGGCGCTGGAGATACCTGAGCCGGATAGCTCTGAAACCTTTGTTGTTGCAATTATGATGATTATTGTTCTTAAGATAAGTGTTCTTATGTGGTCGTATTATTGGCTCTTTGTCCAGCGAACTCACATTGTTGTTGTCAAGGGCTTATGGCCTTTAGATCTCTCGATCAGTTAAGGATCAGGCCTGAGGTGAAAGGTTTGTGTTTACCTCCGTGGTGATCCGCACAGGTCAGATGAACTCCAGCTGGCCATCAGACCCTAAACCCTAAACCCTAAACCCCAAACCCTAAACCAGCCATCACAAGTCTCCGCTGCAAACTGCCAAACTCTACAGCTCCGATGTGGTCAGCGGCACAGTATGCAGCCCTCTGAGAATGTCTCAAGATTGATCTGGTATGCTTGCTTTCGTTTCCTAAAGGGCAACAATGGGAGATAGGATTAGGGGGACCCTTGGAAATATAGACCCTCTCAATAAGGTCCCTTTTAAGAGAGCCAAAAGTAGGGTTAGAAGGGGTACCCTTTAAGGGGTACCGCTAAAAATACTACCTAAACAAACCTTCTTCTGACGGCTCATGTCACAGGACCATCAAGGCTCACTGAGTCCGAGTGTCCCTGCTACCCTAAGCTTGACACTGGTTCGAACACCCTGAGTCCTGAGTCCGGAAACTTCAACCAACATCCTACACCCTAAATCTGACATATAGGGGCCGTAATAATTAGAATAGGGTTTTGGGGCCCACTAGACTATGACTATGCCTATTTGAATAAGGAGCCCGCCAAAATAGTAATGGTAATTACTAAGGAGCCCCCCCAAAATAGGAATGGTAATTATTAGGCCGCTACATTACCTTGGGCCCGGAACCCGACAAGCTTGGAGCCAGGAGACGCTTTCAGCTCGACTTCCAGCTTCGTTGACACAGGGTAGGTCCTTCGTCTCAAAGATAAGGTACTACTGTTGATGGACTGCATGACCTTATATACCTAAACTATGGGATTTATGGTACTATACTTTCATGTGGGTCATGCAGAATTTTGTCCATCAACCGTAGGGAAAGCCGGCCTATCAGTTCTTAGGTCTTTGCGGGCCCTTTTCCAACTGCAGATTGCTCTGAGAGTTTAGGAATGGTCTATGCATGCATGCACATATGTATGCATGCCTGCTCACATGGCTCACATGGCTCACATACATACATACATACATACATACATACATACATACATACATACGTACATGCATACATACACACATACACACATACACACATACATACACACATACTTACATGCACACATACATACATACATACATGCATACATGCATACATACATGCATGCATGCATACATTCATACATACATACATACATACATACATACATACATGCATATGCTTATGTATGATATGTACGTATATACTGACATTTACATAAGCATATGTATATATCTATGTACACACGCGCTAAGGAAGGTTTTGGGGCTACAAGTTTCAGTACATATGCCAAACCAAGCCAAGCCAAGCCTAAAATCTGAACTCAAAAACCAAAGTCTTGCAATAGATCCTGCTAGAAAGACATCACTACCTGACAGAAGGTCCTATGTAAAAGACGACATTCAAAAACAAATCCGAGATCTACGTGAACCCGTGATCCAGAAACTCAATGATCCAGGTCTCAAGGGCTAAGAATAGTGGGTACTTATGTGTATGGATAGATAGAGAGAGAGATATATATATATATATGCCCTTGAATCTGAGCCCGAATCTTTGAACACTAGAACTGCAGGCCCAATCCCAGCTCCTGATGTAGTCGGCGACCTGCTTTTCTGCCTCCTGCTGCCTTTGCCGCTGCAAAAGCTCCAGCACTGAGAACGATCACATGGGCAAGAACGCATACTGCGAACCGGCAGGAGCACTCCCTATTAACACCAACGGAAACAACGAAGACAATACAAGCCGTCAGGCCGTTTCCGTCGAGGCGAACGACGACGATAGCTGACACCGACGCCAACTCCGTCGAAGGCTGCTGCTAAGAAGTGGCAGCAACAGAGACGGTAAGAACCAAAGCAGCAGCGCCGCTAGGAACGACAGCAACCACCAGCAGCAGCAGCAGCAGCAGCAGCGCAAACAAAAAGGCAGCAGCATACTCATCACCACGCCTCACCGCTTTCGTCCAATCTGTTCAATCAGCAACAGCCCACGCTCCTCCCGCTCTCAGACTGATACTATCTCCTCGGCCCTGCCACTTGTAACTCATCCCAACAACCGAAAATCCTACATGAAGACAGTTGTGAAAAATGTGACCCACCACCTGACAAGGCCCAGCAGCACGCTGTGGACACGACGGATATCCGAAATATCGTTGGTCACAATGGATGTGAAAATCGATGCCAAGACCAAAGCTAGCCTTTGCAAGGCTAGATGGTTTGAGCGGTTGCAAGGCACTAGGGTTTAGGTGTTCGAATGTGCGGAACGGGCTTCTGTCGCCTCTCCTGTTTCAGTGTTCACAATTCAATGCTAAGGGTTGATACTTCCACAGTTTAATATAGGGGCCTTAACAATTAGAATAGGGCTTCGGCCCATTCTACTATAATTCTACTAAGGAACCCCCCAAAATAATATTGGTACTTATTTAGGCCCCTATATGAGGCAGTTTAGGGTTGAACCTGCTGAGACCTGCGATGCCCGAGTTGGGCCTGGGAGGCTAAGCGTCTACGAAAAGTAGGCCCTGCACCTTGCAAACAAAAAGACGACCTTCACCAAGGGGCATAGGCATAGGCATGGTTTCTCTTATGCTATATGTGCCTTACTGTTTTGATAAGGAACCCCCAGAACCCTATTCTAATTATGAAGGCCCCTACATTACTTGCTAACTGCATGTAAGGCCTAGCTGGGTTCCGGAGTCTGGGCCGAGGCGGGCGCGGCGTCGCGGGAAAATCAGCTCGCTTGGGGCTTAGGGTTGAGGTTTAGGGTTTAGGGATTAGGGTTTAGGGTTGAGGGTACCGTAGGGCGACCGTGCTGCAAAGGTGTCAGGGTTAGGGTTCAGCGTCCCACAGAAGATCCTAAAAAGCTCTACAAGCTGCAGAACTCATGGCTCGTCGGGCTTGCAATACCGCAAGATACCAAAACAAAAACAAAACCCCATGATTGAGGAACATGCCCAAAACCGTAAGAAGATACACGACAAGTATCATTACTTCAACGATGTCTTGTCATTCCTTGGCTAGGGGCAGTACGGTGCCTGACTGATAAGTACAGAGTTTGGGGGTCCGTTACAATACAAGAAGACCCTACATGAAGGCAAAACAGACTAAGCTCTAGATTTCCTATAAAGTTAATTACAGTAATGTTATAACGATACCCTAAACCCTAAACCTTAAGCCCTGAACCCTAAAATTATAGTGGACCCCACAGCCCTATTATGATTATTCGGCCCCTTTGAGTTGTTCAGGCCCCGAAATCCTAAGCTCTAAAACCCTATGCCCTAAAACCCACACCCTAAACCCGGAAACCCTAAAGCCCCTAAGCCCAAAACCCAAGCCCTATATTGCTGTGCTTTCTGGGAGAGACCCTGAAGAGGAGGCTTTCAGGTGATATGGGGGTTTCCGAAAATTAGGGTACCTTATCTTGGGGTCCTTATAATAAGGATCCTACTATTTAGGGTACTACTATATCAGGGTCCCCTATTTTCGGAAACTCCCATATCTGGAGGACCGAACAGATCTCTCCGAAGTTCGGCTTGTCTTCTTTAGGGTTGAGGGCTTAGGGGTTAGGGAGTTTTCTAGTTAGGGTTTAGGGCTTGACGGCCTTAGGGCTTTAGAGTTTTTAGGGTCTTAAGTAAGGGCTTTAGGGTTTGGGGGTTCATCGAGATTCGGGGTTAAGGGATGAGGGTTTACGATCGGGGGAATCCTTTCCTCACAGCTACGAAACCCAAAGAAGGGTAGGATGACGGCAGGGTGCGTAGTTGTATGAAATTATGAACCTACTCCGCTAGCTTCAACTGAGACGTAGGTCGTAGAGCCCTAAACTGCAAAACGTTTCTCGTACTGCCCAAGAGCCCGGTGGCAATGACTGAAAGTCCTCGCTCCAACTGCCTTTGGACTTGGCTCGGTTTGAGGGTTGCGGGTGTAGGTTTGCAAGGGTCGGAACCCGATTGATAAAACTCAATCACAGAAATGGTACTTGGAGGTTCATGGGACTTTGTAAGTACGTTATAAATACCTTAATTCGGGTTCTAAGTAGTTATAACTTATGGGTTTGGGGTTTAGGGCACCAGTAAACCCTATGTAATTCTACTTTTGATCGGGCGCCCTATAGCTTGGAACCCAAGAGGGGCCCTAACTTGGACCGTCGCCCAGATGCATTGTCAGTCCCCTTCCGGTATGCAGCTCTGTGATCTCCGCCACTGGGCAAGTCATACCCATTTAGAAAAACCCTAAACCCTAAACCCTAAACCGTGGTTTAGGGTTTTCAATATCAGGGCAGCAACTCGTGGGTGTGTAGCTAGCAACCATAGGTCGAACGTTTCAGGGAACCCTGGAACCCATGAATGCCAATGCCACTACCACTAATATAGGGGCCTATGTAATTACCAATACCATTTTGGGGGTTTCTTAGTATAGTTGTAATGTAATGTACCCCAAAACCCTAGTCTAATTATTAAGGCCCCTATACTGCCCTCATAGAAGGCCCCTTGTTAAGAAAACCTCAGACATTGAACACAAGCCTGCAGCCATGGCGCGTTGTCAGCAGCATGTTTTCTGTCATCCGCGAGGGGGGCAGGCGTGCCATAGTAAATTCCTGAGGGCTGACGAGAGGGTTGGGAGCTTCAAAACACACGTTAACATCAACGCCCCTAAGCCCAAAGCCCTAAAACCTAACCCCAACACTTACGCAGCCAACCCTCAAGCCGCAACCATGACCACGGCGGCAAAAAACTCCAGATATCCTGGAGAGCCGCCCCAAGACCCGTGGGGGCGGCATTGGGCATAGGGTTTAGGGTGCAGTACTCGTATGTCAGTGTTTTGTTTTGTTCAGGGCCTTTTTCTGCAGTACTAGTCCACAGACAGCCACATGGGGTAGGCTAGTAGGTTTAGGGTTTAGGGTTTAGGGCTTCAGGATTTAGTGTTATCCGGCTCCATAGGCATCTTGAGCTTCCCAAACCGAGTCTAACTTAGCCTAACTATTGGCCGGATGCTTTGATGTTCAATACAGGTAGTAGCTTGGAAGACCATGAAACTAGAGAACAATACCTACATATTCGTCTGTATCTATCATGATTGAAGGCAGTTTCACGTCTTCGCACCCTAGCTTGTTGAGACCATTCAGGTTTAGCTGTCTTTCTTTGTTGGTTTCATTGCTACTTTTGAGCAACAGGATAAATTAAACTTGCATCCATGGCCCCAACCCCCTCAACTCCTACAAGCCGAAGCCACTGATTTAACCCTAAACCCGATAAGAACCCCTAAAACCCCCGAAGTTAAAATCATTCTTTGGCCATCACACTTGAACAAACAAGCTGCTGGGATTTCGAGCCAAGGCGCCATGGCAACCATGTACTGCTCCATCCTGGCAATTGCAGGTGGGTCATGAGTGTAGGGTTTAGGCCTTGGGGTTTGGCGTAAAGCAGGTGGCATCGACCCTAAACCCCAAACCCTAAACCAAACCGAGCAAGCTCACCCGTCGTCGTGGTCACAGGGACGGGCTGCTCGGCTGGGGGCCTTGACCCCGAACGAAAATTGAAATCCAGGCGGAAATTTTACACCCTCCAGGGTTTAGGGTTCTGTCTTTGCTGCGGAGATTCGGGACCCTGTCTCCCTGTGTCAGATTCATGCATGGGGCTTTGAGGGGCTTGGAGGTTTTTGAACAAGTCCAACATCCAAACTAATGCAGACCCCTCATTGACAAACTCCCTGTCTTTCAGGGCCTCAGATAGGACATTGAGATCCCTAGTATCATCCCTGCTGCAGTAGCAGTGTATTACTCAGTGGTGTGGGCTCCCGCCGGACGAAATCCCAAATTAGCAGATGAGTAGTTCTCTAAATTAGGATAAACCTCAAACCTCCCAAACCCGCAACCTGCGGCCTCCATGACAGGGTTTAGGGCTTAGGGTTTAGGGTTGCAAATCGCCAACCCGGCAACCTCCACCCTTCAGCCTTGGCGTTACAGACTCTGCATCCTAGGAATTAGAATGACAATAACAATAGTGATAACTCATACGGTTTAGGGTTTACGGTTTTGGGGTAGTTATAATTGCAGTGATACCAACAAAAACACTCATATGAGCCCCATTTGAGCCTCGAGCCCGAAGCCATCAGACTCTACAACTTGGCCACCTGCCTGGGACGGTTCTGCAAGGACTCTTCGTGAACCCATCCACCGACACGGTCGCCCACAAAGAACCTGTGATTCGGCTCCAGGGTTCCGGGGGCTCGGTTTAGGGGTTTAGGGTTGAGGGGTTGACGGGTTGAGGGGTTGAAGGGTTTAGGGGTTTAGGGCTGAGGGGTGTAGGGGTTTCGGGGTTTAAGGCTGAGGGTTTAGGGGTTTAGGGGTTTGGGGGTTTAGGGGCTTAGGGTTGAGGGTTTAGAGGTTTAGGGCTGAGGGGTATAGAGGTTTAGGGTTGAGGGGTATAGAGGTTTAGGGTTGAGGGGTTTAGGGGTTCAGGGCTGAGGGTTTAGGGGTTTAGGGGTTTAGGGTTTAGGGTATAGTTAGTACGGCGACGGCTTGGCGTTTAGGGTTTGGGGCTTAGCCGGCTTCATCGTCTAGAGCTCATGGTTTTAAGCAAGCTTGGACTGGCACTGAGGGAATCCAATGCGCCATCCTGAGCCACTTGCATAGTGCCACTACAAATATGAACCCTATAGGAAACTGTTCTGTTTTGTTCTGCTCAGAATAGAACAGAGCACCCATATCAGCTTTTCAGCAACAGTATAATTCGAGTATCGCAGCCCCTTCTCAAAAAAGATTCTAGTTGTTAAGGCCCCTAACATTCCATCCAAAATATACGTATTGCAAAATCTCGGCACAGGCTCTGCTCGAAACCCCCAAGCCCCCGTAAACCCCAAAACGGGCTTCACAATCTCTGGATGCATCCAAAGCACCAAAGACAGGCCAACCAGTGAAGCAAGAGCGTGCAGCCCATTATCGCTGATCTCAGAGGCGGCAAACTTGAAATTCGGGATTCTGGGTTCAGTGGTTCTGAGAATGCTTAAAGATCAGAGCTTGGGTTCGCGAGGACGGGAGCTAGAGAGCCTGTGCAGCTGAGAAGTCGTGTTACACTGAAGTCCACATCCTTGTTCATCTCACGTCACTTCTGGGCAGAAAGCTCTTCAGGCTGCCACGACAAGCAATGCCTCAAAGAAGCACGGGACAAGAGGACCTCCTGAATCTTGGGTAACCCCAATCCAACTGCACCTTCGGGTCATATAGAGTTTAAGGGCTCGGGTTCCTTAACAGGTGGCTCTTTATCGGGGGGTTCGTATGGATTGATGATGATTTGCAAGGGGTTCGTCGCGTTCATAGGTTCAACATCCCGAACAGTCTTGCGTGCAACCTCCCCCACCCCACTCAGACGGTCAAACCGACCACCACATTCCCCCCATGCATATTTGAATCCCTGGAGATGATCGCATGGCTGCCCCTCCCGGAAAAGATGGTGATGATGATGGTGGTGATGATGATGATGATGGTAGCAGTAACGATAAGGAGGATTATGATGACGATGGTGATGATCTGGTGAGAGTATCATGCTGATGCCCTCCGTCGTTGCAATCTAGCCATGCACTCCAGGTGCCGAGGTACAGCAGGTTCAGCAGCAGCTTGACCTCCCGTCCTGCATGACGGAGAAATTTGCGAAGCCGCGTGGCGGCAAGCCTCCCAGGATGCTCAGTGCTGTGCGACTTAGGGTTTAGGGTTTAGGGGTTTAGGGTTTAGGGTTGAGGGTTTGGGGTTTAGGGTTTAGGGTTTAGGGTTTAGAGCCCCCGACCCTCTACCCTATAAGGATTGGGATAAGGATGTCGCTTAGCGAAGCCTGAGAGGTAAGGGCAGAAGCATCGGGTGCAGGATTAAAACCAGGATCCCGGGTCTGTGGCTAGTGGGTCTTGAACCCCATGTCTTCTTAGAAAATGCGTAGTTTTCTAAATTAGGGTCCCTTTTTCGGTCCCCAACATAGTACGGCACCCTTATAAAAAGGACCCTAAAAGGGACCCTAATTTAGACAACTACCCAAATATAACAAACCTACCACTTTAAGATCTTCTTGAATAACCAGGGAAGCCACTAAAACTGTAAGCACGGGCCCTACAATGCCTTATGCAACAACTCCTGCTGCTGCAAATGCCCCCGATTCCAGAAGTAGGTTTCAGGTGTACCTCATTGTTCCGGGGGGGGGGGGGTCCTTGTCATTGCTAATCAAAGGGCTCCTGGACACCAATCACTCCTTCTGCGGGCCTCTGCCACAAGCCTGGAATGTACCTCAGTGGACTAGAACGCCCATTACAGTTGCAGGGAAGAGGGTTGCTTGTGAAGGTCCGACTGTCTGTGATGCCAATCGGTACACTGGCAGTACAATGTACATCGCAACCCATGATGCGAGTAGCTCGAATGCAGGAGCCATACTCGTTCCGTGAGGCTCATAGTTTACTAGAACATACTATACCACCAAGCCCTAAACCCTAAAACCTACTCCAAATATTAAGGCCCCTATGCTAAGTGTCACGGACCCCAGGTTACACAGGGCGTCGAGCCTTGCCGTTTTGCATGGACTGGACGTAACCTTTCTTGTGTCTGTGAGCCCATCTGGTATAGACTTTGGACCCTAAAGACCCTGCAGGGCCCAAAATTTCGACTATGTAGGCACATGGACTTTGAGGGCAGAGCCTCTAGAAATCCTTGCTTGGTACATAAGGCCAGTGAAGAGACAACATGATTTGATGAGGGTTCCCTTAGGTAGCTGCTGAGTCTTCAAGTAATGAATGCAAAGTGGTATGACCCTAAAAGTGAGCAGGATTTCGACGAACCGAGGGCGCACGTGACAGACGGAGAGGTTTAAGTTTGAAAATCCGAACAATCGCTGAAGCCATCTGAAACCCAATATCATACTGTTGATGGACAAAATTCTGCATGACCCAAATATAGTAGAGTATCATAAATCCCATTGTTTAGGTATATAAGGTCATGCAGGATTTTGTCCATCGGCCGTATCTCTGGTGGAACCGGGGCTCGTAAGGCGCAGGATCGTAAGACTCCGCAATGCAATGGCAGCATCGGGACGATCGTCCCCTGTGGACCATAGGTTTGAGGTGCCCGATTTTGAGCCTTTCGTTTCGGGACTTTTTGGGGTGCTTGGTTTAGGTTGCGGGTGTCAGGATTGAACAGTTTCGGAGGAGACGAAGGCTAAACGAACAAGTGAAGCGTCATAGCTATGCTGGTCGATGTCAAGGCGAGGGGGCCGCAGCAGGTGTCAGCATTGATCTTACAAAAAGGGATCTAGGACAGCGTAGGAGCAGCCAATGCAGACCTAACAGGGTGTCAAGGACTGTAGTCTAGAATGTTGGGCCGAGGTTGGCGACAACAACTTTGATTGCCGCGTTTGGCTGAGTGTGTGGCATGGGTAGATCTGAGAGGCTGATTTCTTTTTTCACCGCACCCGAAGCGACTCAACCAGATGGTTTAGGGCTAAGGGTTTAGGGACTGCACAACGTGGCACAAACAGGGAGCTCCACAGAACTACACGTTTTGAAACACCGAAACACAAGAGCAAGTCCACGTTGTCTCCAACGGGGTAGCCTGCCGTTGGGGCCAAAACACCTCAACACCTTCAAGCCTTCCTAAACCCTAAACCCTAATATATCCCAGCCTTGGCAATGAAGGCAGCGAAACTCATGAAACCCGACCTTGACCCCTCACAACCATGACACACACTTCTAGAGCCCCTATACTCTCAACCCTGAACCCCTGAACCTCTGAACCTTCTGCCTTCAACCCCAAACAACCCTAAGCCCTATGAAGTCGGGCCTTGGTAATGAAAGATGACTGCCACCAGCAGAAAGACTTCCAGCAGAAACCATGCGAGCCGGCCAACAGTCAGGCCCTCAGAAAATGGCCCAACGTCAATACGCGCGCGGGCTGCTGTAACCCTAAACCTTAAACCAACTACGAAAGTAGGCTTCGTAGAGGGTTTGGAGTTAAGGGTTTGGGGTAATTAGAATAAGAAGGGTTATTTAAAGGGCTAGTACAGCTACTGTAAAGGTTGCTATAATGGAATTCGTCCAAACAAGTTGGACAGCGTTTTGGGGTTCATTAGTGAATGAGGAACCCTCAGGAAAAGTCAATAATATTACCCATCATTCCGGCTTATACACTGGGGGCCCAACAAAACCTCGGGTAAACCTGCGGCAAGGCATTGTTTACTGCAAGTGATCGAGCTTCAATATCTTTATGGTTAGGTGCGTAAACCTGTAAGATGTGTAAGGACCTTCGTGAACCCTTGTCGAAACAATCAGTCCACAGCCAAAGCGCAGTCTGGGACACACCAGAGGTGGCAACCAGGTTCAGGAACCAAAACACGACCGAGAGTACGTCCAGCGAGGACAGCTCATTGCCTCCAGAACGTGCTGTTGCTATTTGTAACATGTCCTAGCTATAGCTTTTACTGCTGCATTGCTGCTATCGTGCTCGTCGTGTAGCAATTTTGTGTGTGTGTGTATGATGGGATATGTTGTACTATGGTTACGATAAGGAATACAAAGGGGGTTTGATTATTGGTATCATTGCTTATTCCGACCCCTATATTCAAGCGGTAAGGTATGTTGGTACTTGTATATAGCTACAGAGGTTAGGTGTACATAAACAAAATGATATAATGTCGACGCCTTAATATAATCAGAATAGAGCTTTTGGTAGTTTTTAGTACCATAATGATAATGAGGACCCCCCAAAATAGCCTTATTTAGGCTCCTATAACCTTAAACCCTAAACCCTAAACCCTATAGTACTTGCCATTCCCACTCATCCCGGCCCTCCCCGAGATGACCCCCTTACAGACCCCTGGAGCCGTTATGGCAACACCCTAAACCCTAAACCGCTCTATGGTAAACCGCAAAATGTCGGAAACCGGATTAAGGACAATGAGTGCTAGGATTCCCTATACCTTACTCTCAAGGATTGAGGCTGTTGGGTTTACAACTTCCACGACACAAGCAAAACGAACCAAGGGCAGAAGCGCTGTAGTGTTGAAGGTCTGAGAGCGCACCTCATCTCATAGGCTTGCTGCAACGGTTTAGGGTTTAGGGTTTAGGGGTGGGGGGTTTTGTCGATTGCCATGGTTCTTGGGGCTGGGGCGCGAGAACTTTGGCGGAAAGTCTGCCATCATCTTCTTTGGCTGCTGATACACGACCTTTAACAGATACTGAAACCACGCTAGGGCCGCTAGGGTACAAGCCAAAGCCACAAGGATTCAACGCCTCCTGAAAGCACTGAAGTTTGCTGCATATTGCGTTCCATCTGTAAGGCCCGGCAACCGCAAAACGGTCGCACCCTGAAGAAAGAACCAAAGCACTGGAGATTGGGCCTGGGAAAGCCAAGAGCGGCACTTTCACAGCCTGCAGAGGTGTCACGTCAGTCGAATTAAGCGGTCTAAGGATTTGGCGGTCTAGGGCTGGTGTACTCTATGGGCTATGGTACACAGTTCAGGGCGCAAACGAACCCTTAAGCAAACGAACACTCAGATCCGTGCAGAGGTTGTGCTTCAATTTCCACTTCTGTACTACAGGAAGGGGAATTATACACAATTCCCCAAACATGATAGGATTCCTGTAAAATTTGTTTTGGGGGAAACGTTAACGCACTCAAGAAACACAAATTCCCAACACTAGGCCAATTGACATGCTATATCCGGAACCCATTCAGTTTGACACTCTGTCCGAATACTATGGACTATACTTGCGGCGACTTGCACACGAACATCCGATTCACATGCGCGCCAACCCTTCACCCTAAACCCCCAACTTGAAACCCTAAAGCCTGCAAACGACAACCCCAAACCCCAAACCTAGACCTAAACTCAAAAGCTAAACCCCAAGCATCAAACACTAAACCCCTAAACCCCGAAACACGAAAGCCCTAAACATCGCCTCCAGACAAGAAAAGACCAGGCCGAAAAACGCCCAGACCTACAGCCGTCGCAGTTTTGGGGGTCGAGGAGTTTTCAGGGTTAGGGGTGGGGTCTAGGGGTTTATCAGGGGTTGGGGTGTTTAGTGTTTAGGGGTCTCGCGTTTCGGGTTTGAGATGTTGTTCGGGCGGCGGTGCTTTGGGCAGGCTTTAGGATTTGCGGATAAAGATATTGGGTGGTTCTTACAATTGGGGGGGGGGGGGGCTGTACTATAGGTGCCTCAATAATTAGAATACGGTGTTGGGGTCCTTTTATAGCATAATTATAGTAAGGAAACCCCAAAATACTATTTAATTATGGAGGCCCCTATAGCATCTTAGCAAGTGCGTTTTTTGGACCCTTGAGAATACACTCCCTTAAAGGGAACCCCTACAGATACCTTAAAACGGAGCCCTTGTAGATCCCTTAAGGGAACCCGTATAGATCCCTTAAAGGAACCCGTATAGATCCCTCAAAGGAACCCTTATAGATCCCTTAAAGGAGCCCTTATTAGATCCCTTACAAGGAATGCTTAAAGATCCCTTAAAAGGAACGCTTAAAGATCCCTTCAAGGAGCCCTTATAGATTCCTTCTACAGGAACTAGCAGGGACCGTTTCCTTGTGGGGACGCCCTAAACAGGGGAGTTTGCTCTCAGGGGTTCAGGGTCTAGGATTTAGGGTTTAAGTAGGGTTCAGGATTTAGGGTTTGGGGCTTTTAAGTTTTAGAGTTTAGATGCTGGGTTTTGGGGTTGAAGTGTGAAGGTCCTAAGATGTTTGCATAGCGCAGTGGGGCGAGAGTTTAGGCCTTACTTGTGGCGTGTTTAAGGAAGCGGCGGCTTTTACGACATCAGGAGTTGCCAGTGACCTGAAGTTTTAGGGTGATATTAGGGTTTAGGGTTTAGGGTTTAGGGTTGATGGACAAAATTCTGCATGACCCAAGTGTAGTATAGCACCATAATTTCCATAGCTCAGGTATATAAGCTCAGCCCAGGATTGTGTCCATCAGCCGTGGGGGGATGAAGCAAGGGCCCTGGGCACTAAAACGTAAACTCTAAACCCTAAACAAGCCCTAAGCCTGCTGCTCTTGCAATCCGAGCCACACCCAATCCTAAACTCTATAAGCCCTAAACCCTGCATTCTAAACCCCGAACTTTAAACCGAAAACCCCAAACCTCAAATACCCCAAACCGCTACACCCGTAAACCCTAAACCCTTAACCTGAGAAGGGTTGCTCCACATTGGGCAACTTGGTGAGTTCCGTTTGATGGCATCCCTCTGCTTACAGCAATGGCTACTTCTGCTTGTTACCAGGGCCTCGGGGGCGGTTCGTCTTCCGTATATGGGGTATGTATATATATAGATAGATAGATAGATAGATAGATAGATAGATAGATAGATAGATAGATAGACACATAGATTTTGGGGCTTAGAGTTTTAGGGTTCGCCGGTTTCGGATTTGGGGCTGTCGGGTCTATCGAGACACCAAAGACTCACCCTAAACATCCCGAAACCCTCAACCCTAAACATCCCTAAACCCTCAACCCTAAACATCCCTAAACTCCAAACCCTAAACTCCAAACCCTAAACCCTAAACGGCCCGGAACCCTAAACCCGAAGCCCTATAGTCCCTCTAAGCCCTCATCAGCCCTAAGCCCCACTCGGCCGCGCCTCCACCCAGGTTGGCCCACGCTGTCTCTGACCCCCTCCTGCACCTTGGACGAAGGAGTCTTTGAGATGCCCCGTGAAACCAGGGTACCTCTTAGGGCCCACGAAGATAAGGGTTTAGGGACTTAGGGTTTTGGGGTTTAGGGGTTTAGGGACTTAGGGTTTAGGGTTTAGGGTTTAGGGTTTAGGGTTTAGGGTTTAGGGACTTAGGGTTTAGGGACTTAGGGTTTAGGGTTTCGGGTTTAGCGGTGTTGGGTTTAGGGTTTGGGTTTCAAGGGCTTGGGGTTCGTGAGACCTTTGGAAGACACTTGTTTTCTTTCGAGCCTGCCAACTGGATGTTGCTGTTTGCAGTTAGTTGATGATGCTGGAGTGTTCGTGTGTTACCCTTCAGAATAGGCAGCTGACTTGCCAGGAACCCTCACGCAGAAGAGAATCCATCTCATCTGGGGTTTCGACCACCTGTTACATTAGTTTGGACATCCCGCCGGATGAAGTTCAGAGTCAAAGAAGATTGAAATCCTAAGAGGCTGCGGGCTGAGTTGAGGTTTAGGGCTTGGGGTGTGGGGTTTAGGGTTCGGGGCTCAGGGTTTGCGGTTCAAGGCTTCGGGCTTTTAGGGTTTATATGGTATATAGGCCATGCTGGGCTTATGGGGTTAATCAAGGGTTGTGGGGCTTCCGGGTTCGTCCGAAGTGAGAGACCGCGCAGCTCTCTTTTGCAAAGGGGCGGAACTCCAACGTCGACGATTGGCTAGGGCGGCCATTGAATCGTGGGGAGCTGGACTCATCAGAGAGCACCTTTTCTTTAGATGGCGAAGATATGGGCTGAAAGCAATTAGAATAGGGTTCTTATAGGGCTAGAATAGGGTTCGTATAGGGTTGAAAAGGGTTATATGGGGTTGCATTGTACTTAGGCTTAAGGACGCGGCTTTATACAAGGATCCTGGAGTGGGCTACAAGATTAGAAATTTTCACCTAGACGAAATCGGGCCAGTTTCAGGTCTGTGGGCTACAAGGATTTGTTGCCAGGGCAACAGAAGCCTGTCAGGGTGTTGGTTCCTCAGGGATCTGGAGCTGTGGTGTTCTGGAGACAAGACTTTTCAAGAGATCGCCAGAGTATGAATCGAAACCTCCGCAATCTCATGCGAGAGGCAGCTTCAGGTACTAGGGCAAGGAAGGCATTCGGACCTTACGGAGTGGCGCCTTAGCGCCGCCTCCCTGCACAAACTGTACCTTTGCTAAAGACCCAACCCTTAGCCAGCAAGCTTGAACCCTGAAGTGTAAGCCCCAACCGTAACCCTGAACACTGATTGCTCAACTCTAGACTCCAAACCTTGGAACCAAAGACCCCAAACCCCAAACCCTAAATCCTAAACCCCAAACCTCAAGCTCCAGACACCCAACCTTGAGTCCTAGACTCTAAACCCTCTGACGCTTGATGTAGGGGCCTTTATAATTAGAGTAGGGTTTTGGGGTGTGTTATGCTATAATTGTAGTAAGGAGCTCCCAAAATAGTATAGGTAAGTAGTAAGGCCGCTATACTACCTCTAGGGTGTAGGGTTTAGGGTTTAGGGTTTAGGGTTTAGGGTTTAAGGTTTAGGGTTGGTTAAACTCTACTCTCTGAGCCCGCCTGTAGCCCCTGGTGTAGCTCGTAGCCCTCACCTGGAGTGGCTGGAACCCGAACGCTCAGAGCCGACATCAACAAGCCTTCATAGCGTAGGGTTTTATTGAGGGTTGAAGGGTTTGAGGTTTAGGGAGTTAAGGCCCTAAACCCTAAACCCTAAGCTAAACCCCTAAACCCTAAACCCCAAACCCTTCGAAGCCTTAGACCTTAACTCAAGATCTAAGGCTTCTAACCCGAAGGGTCCCAGTACCTAATAATCATATACTCTCCCAAATAGTAACCTACATAACTACTATCCACCCTAAACCCTAAAGTTTCATGGCTGGTAACCTAAGTACCTGATTATTAGGTCCTTTGGACCCTTAGGGTAAGGGCTGAAGGCTGAAGGCTCAGGGAGTTCAGGCTTCTAAGGGCTGAGGGGTAATGTGGGGGGCCGAAATAATTACCTATATAGGGTTTAGGGTTTAGGGTTTAGGGTTTAGGGTTTAGGGTTTAGGGTTTAGGGTTTAGGGTTTAGGGTTTGGGAAAGGTGTTCCTTACTATAGTTGAATAAATTACCTATATTATTTGGGAAAGGGGTTCCTTATCATAGTTATCGTATAGCCTAAATAATTACCTATATTATTGGGGAAAGGGGTTCCTTATTATACTTATAGTATACTGGGCCCCAAACCCTATTCTAATTATTAAGGCCCTTACATTTTACGGGCCTAGGGATAGTGTTGAGGCGGGCTTAAGGGTTCCCCGAGGTTTAAATGTAGGGTTTAGTTTAGGGCTTAAGGTTTTGGGCTTTGGGGTTTAGGGTTCAGAGTTTAAGGTTTCAGGGTGTAGGATTTAGGGTTTAGGTCCTATATGAATTTAGGTATGCGATGTGATCAAGAGCACGTTAGCAGTAGTATGCATAGTCTATTCAGCTGGATGGGAATAGTAGAGCAAAAGAGTGACTCTAGCAATTGCAGATCCCTGAATAAGCAGCTCTGAACAATGAAAAAGAAACAAGTTATCTGCAAGAAGCTCCTACTTGCGTGTAACAGCCACCCGGCCTTTCCCCCGTAAGACCCCGTAAGACCCCAAACCCTACCACCCGACTCCCTAAAGCTCTGAACCCTAACACCGCGGACGCTCAAACCTAGAAGGCTATTCCCGGAACCCGAAACCCTAAAACCCCAAAACCCTAAACCCTAAACCCTCAACCCGAAGCCCTGAAGCCCCCAGGCCCCTGAACACAAAAACCCCCCCATGCCCCTAAACGCTACACCCCCAAGCCCCTAAAGAATGAAACTCCTTCCTATGGCCTTCGGTGCTGTGCATCTCAAGGGCGGCCTGCCGTTTGGGGGGTGTGTCAGGAAGCCTCTTGGAGGGCTGTTTCGGGGATATTAGGGTTTAGGGTTTAGGGTTTCGGAGGGCGTGTGGTGTTGGGGTTTAAGGTTTGGGATGCAGGGTTTAACATTTCGCAGGTTTTAAAAGGATTTTCAGGGCCTTGCGGGCTTTAGTGCGACCCCGCTATTAGGCGCTTACAGCGTTTCGGGGCTTCGTCGTGGCGTCGAGCTTGGGAACCCTAAACCCTACAAAGCACCCACACCCTGAACCTACAAACCCCCCTGAAATTAAAACCCTACTCCCAAGCCGCGTTCCGAGCCTTAGGCTTAGGCTCTGGGGAAGCTCTACCCGACAGTTTGTCAAGGGTTTTGGATTGAGGGCCTTAAGGGTTGGGGTCAAGGTTAAGGGTGACGGGTTTAGGCTTTATAAGGGTTGAGGGATTACGGTTAAGGGTTAAGGATTGAGGGTTTGAGGGTTTAAGGAGTTGCCACTTTGCGCAATACTTCCTTCGTATGGGTGATGCAGAAGATTTGTCCAGCGACCGTAGTAATATGGGGACTGAAGACTTCCTAATTATAATGATAACCCCCATAGTCCCTGTCTACTCATTTTGCTGCAATATGCCCCCAATGCCTTTTCTTCTTCCTAAGGCCCCTGCTCGCAGAGCCCAATAAAGAGCCCTCACAGGAAGCTTAATCCCATTAGTAAGGCCCCTAGATTAACCCATGCCCCTGGATCAAGCCTCGAGCGCTTTATCGGTGATGACTCGGCACTTCTCTGCCATCCAGGACACCTTGACGGAAGGGTCTAGGGCATCTAGGAGTTTAGGGGCTAGTGGTCTTCATCAGCTTCTGGTGTCAGTGCAGACTGAGCGCACCAACTACGGTTGATGATATAAATCCTGCATTACCCAAAAAAAAAGGATATTTCATAATTCCCATAGTTTGGGGTCCTTAAGGTAATGCAGGATGTATATCACACAACAGTAATACATCCTTCCTCTGACAAGAAAAGGCTTTTCGGGCTGAGGCTGAGGGCCGAAACACTGTAAGCCTAGCACCATCACTACTGATGCTACTATGACGACTACTACTTACTACTACTGAGTTACTACTACTACTACTACTACTACTACTACTACTACTACTACTACTTGTAATAAGAATGATGATAACAACAATGATAGTAATACGAGCAATGCAAGTAGCAATAATAACATACGAATAGCAATAATAACCACAAATGAAAAGACTATAATAAAGATGATGACAATAGTGATGTTGTTCGCCGGTTGAAGGGACGGGTTTTGGAATTTGGGGTTTAGCGTTTGAGGGTTCAGGTTCGGGCGTTTTGAGGTAGTTGGGGTTTGGGATGTTTTCTGGCTTTGCGGGTTTTGGGATTGTGGAATGGGTGGGGCTGTTTTCACCCCGAAAAGGCGCCTCATGCTCACTTTCCCGCTGGGAGTCTTTTTTCGCGCTTGGGGGTCTAGAATCTGGGGCAGAAGGAACAAAGGAATCCGCAAGGGGGCAGAAAACTACCTCACCGGCCATACAGGGTTTTTTTCACGCCCTGGGTGTGGGGGGTCTAAGGGTCGAAGGAACAAAAGAATCTTGAAGAAGGCAAAAAACAACCCAACCGACCGTCCAAGGCGTTTTTCGCGCTCTGGGTTTGGGGGTCTAAGGCCGAAGGAACAAAAGAATAAAGAGACATCAGACGAAGAGACAGAAAGAACACAGACGCAGAAGTAACGGGAAAGAAGCAGGGGGTGACAGAGGGAGAAACAGAGCGAGCGAGAGAGAGAGAAAACGAGAGACGGAGGGAAACCAAAATAAGAAACGTGAGCGTGGAGAGGCAGTCTGCCAAAAGCCACCGAGCCGGGAGCCTCCGAAGGGCAGGAGCAAACCGCTCGAAAAAAACCAGCGACTTTGAGAACAAGGAGCAAACCGAGCGCAAGAGACTATCGAAAGAGGCTCGGGACTTTGAGAAAAAGGAGCTTATCGCTCAAGGAAACCCGAGAATTTGTGAAAAGGAGCTAATCGTTCGAAGGTTCCGGAAAATTTGTGAACAAGGAGCTAACCGCTCGCACGATACTGAAGAATTTGAGATCAAGGAGCACACAGCTCAGAGGACTCGAGAATTTGATAAATAGGAGCAAACCGCTCGAAAGAAACTGGAACTTGACAACAGGGAGCTAACCACTCGAAAGAAACAAAAAGCTTTGATAAGAAGGAGCAAACCGTTCGAAAGAGACTAGAAAATTTAAGAACAAAGGGCAAACCAAGCGAAAGAAAGTAGAGAATCTAAGAATAAAGCAGCAAACCGATCGAAAAACACATGACAATTTGAGAACACAAAGAGCAAACTGCTCGATAAAGACTAGAGAACTTGAGAACACATGGAGCAAACTGCTCGATTGAGACGAGAGAACTTCAGAACAAGAAAAAGGCTAGAGAGTTTGAACCCAAAGACCACACCGCTCGAAAAGAACTAGAGACAATCAGAAGAAGGAGCAAATCTCCAGTTTCTTTCGAGCGGCTGGCTCCTTCTTCTGAAGTTCTGTAGTTCCTTTTGAGCGGCTTGCTCCTTGTTTTCCAATTCTCTAGTCTCATTGACAGTCTGTAGTTTCTTTTGAGAGGTATGCTCCTTCCCCTGAAATTATTTAGTTCCTCGCTCCTGGTGTTCAAATTCTCTAACCTCTCTCGAAAATCTCTAGTCTGAGTTCTTTAATCTCCTTGGGGCGGTTTGCCCCTGCTTCCGAAACTTTCTAGTTGCTTTCGAGCGGTTCGCTGATTGTTTCCAATTTTCTAAATTTTCTTGTGAAAAAGGAGCGAATCGCCCGAAAGGAACTGAAATATTTCGAGGGAGAGACTAGTTAGTTGGAAAACAAGGAGCAAATTGCTTGAAAGGAACTAAAGCATTTCAGCAAAAGAAGCAAAACGCTCAAAAGAGACTGGAGAATTTCGAAGGAGACGAGAGAATTTGAACACAAGGTGGAAAAATTAGAGAATTTCAGGAGAAGGAGCCAACTGCGCGGCAGGAATTAGAGAATCTCGAAAAAACCGACAACGTTTTTGTCAAACAAAAACAAACCGCTCGAAAGAAACTAGGCAATTTCAGAAGAAGAAGCGAACCGCAACAGACTCGAGAGTTTCGACAGAAATTAAAGAATTTGAAAACAAGAAGCGAACCGCTCGAGAGAAACTAGAGAATTTCAGAACAAGGAACTAACTGCTCGAAAGACTAAGGAACTCCGACTAGAGAATTTTGAAGGAGACCAGAGAACTTGAAAACAATGTGAAAACCGCTCGCAAGGAACTGGAGAATTTCAGAAAAGGGACCAAACCGCTCGAAAGAAACTACAGCATTTCGAAAGAGACTAGAGAGCTTGAAAACAAGGAGCAAACCGCTCGAAAGGAACTAGAGAATTTCAGAAGAAGAACCAGGCCGCCCGAAAGAGACTAGAGGACTTCGAAAGGGACTAAAGAAATTGAAAACAAGGAGCAAACTGCTCGAAAGGAAGTAGAGAGTTTGAGAAGAAGAAACAAACCGCTCGAAAGAGACTAGAGAATTTCGAAAGAGACGAGAGAAGTTGAAAACAAGAAAAGCCGACCGACCGAAAGGAACCAGATAATTTCAGAAGGAGAAGAAGAAGCAGGCCGCTCGAAACAGACTAGAGAATTTCGAAAGAGACTAACAAAATGAAATCAAGGAGCAAACTGCTCGAAAGGAAGTAGAGAAATAAGAAGAATGATCAAGCCGTTCGAAAGAGACAATACACTTTCGACAGAAACTCGAAAAATGGGAAAGAAGGAGCAAACCGCTCGAAAAAAAACTGGCGAATTTCAGAAGAAGGAACAAACTGCCCGAAAGAGGCCCGAGAATTTCGAAAGAGACTAGAGAGCTTGAAAACAAGGAGCAAACCGCTCGAAAGGAACTAGAGAATTTCAGAAGAAGAACCAGGCCGCCCGAAAAAAACTGGAGGATTTCGAAAGAGACTAAAGAAATTGAAACAAGGAGCAAACTGCTCGAAAGGAAGTAGAGAGTTTGAGAAGACGAAGGAGAAAACCGCTCGAAAGAGACTAGAGAATTTCGAAAGAGACGGGAGAAGTTGAAAACAAGGAGCAAACGTTTCGAAGGAACCAGAGACTCAAGAAAGAAAAAGCAAACCGCACGAGCGACACTGGGGAATTTCGACAGAGACTGCAGGAAGGGAAAAAAAACATTCAGAAGTGGCAAACCGCTCGAAAAAGATTACGGGATTTCGAAAGAGACTAGAGAATTTAAAACAAGGAGCATTCAGAAGAAGGGGCGAACCGATCGAGACAGACTACAGACTTTCGAAAGAAACTAGAACAGTTGGAAACAAGGAGCAAACTGCTCGAGAGGAACTAGAGAATTTCAGAAGAAGGAGAGACTAGATACTTTCGAAACAGACTAGAGAATTCGAAAACAAAGAGCAAACCGGACGAAAGGAACTAGAGAATTTCAGAAGAAGGAGCAAACCGCCACAAACAGACTGGAGAGTTCTTGATGAGACTATAGAGTTTCAAAACAAGGAGCAAACCACGCAAAAATAACGAGATATTTTCAGAAGAAAAAGCAAACCGCTCGAAACAGAATGGAGAATTTCGAAAGAGACTAAAGACTAAAGAGTTTGAAGACAACGTTCAAACCGCTCGAAAGGAACTTGAAAACTTCATACGGAGCCAGCGGCTCGAAAGAAACTACAGAAATTTCGAGATAGACTGGATCATTTGAGAGCACGTGAGCAAGCCGCCCGAAAGGAACTCAGAATTTCTAAACAAGCAGCAAACTGACCTTCTCAAGTTCCTTTCGAGCGGCTTGCTCCTTGTTCTCAACTTCTCTAGTCTCACTCGAGCGGTTTGCTCCTCCCTCTGAAGTTCTCTAATTCCTTTCGAGCGGTTTGCTCCTTGTTTTCAATTTCTCTAGTCTCTTTCGAGCGGTTTGCTCGTTCTGAAAAATTCAAGTTCTTTTCGAGCGGTTTGCTCCTTGTTTTTTAAACGGCTACTGTCTTTCGAAATTCTCTAGTCTCTTTTGAGCGGCTTGCTCTTTTGTCTGATATTCTCTAGTTCCTTTTTCGCTCCTTGTTTTCGAGTACTCTAACCTTTTTCGAAATTCTTTAGTCTCTTTCGAGCGGATCGTTCCTTCTTCTGAATGAAATTCTCTCGTTCTTTTCGGTTTGCTCCTTGTTTTCAAATTCGCTAGTCTGTTTTGGAATTTCTCTAGTCTCTATCAAGCGGTTTGCCGTTTCTTCTGAATGCTCCTTTCTTCAAAATTCTCTAGTTGCTTTTCGAAATGCTTTAGTCTTTTTCGAATAGTTTGCTCTTTCTTGTGAAATTATCTGGTTTCTTGCCGCGGATTGCTTCTAGTTTTCAAGCTCTGAAGTTCTTTTCGGAATCCCCCAATCCCTTTCGAGTGGTTTGCGCCTTCTTCTGAAATTCTGTAGGTCCTTGGGAGCGGCCTGCTCCTTGTTTCCAATTTCTCAAGTCTCGTTTGAAAGTCTCTAGTCTCTTTCGAGCGGTTTGCTCCTTCTTCTGAGATTCTCAAATTCCTTTCGAGCGGTTTGCTCGTTGTTTTCAAAATCTCTAGTCTCTTTCGAAATTCTCTGGTCTGGTTTGCTCCTCCTTCTCAAACTCTCTAGTTCCTTTTGAGCGGATTGCTGTTTTTTTCAAACTCTCTAATTTGATTCGAAACTCTCTAACCTCTGTCGAGCGGTTTGCTCCTTCTTCCGAAATCGAGCGGTTTGCTCCTTGTTTTCAACTACTCTAATCTCCTCCGAAATTCTCTGGCCTCTTTCGAACGGTTTGTTCCTTCTTCTGAAAATCTCTAGTTCCTTTCGAGCTATTTGCTCCTGGTTTTCAGAGTCTCCCGTCTCTGTTGAAATTCTCTAGTTTTTTGGGATCGAAAGAGACTAGACCTTTTCGAACAAAGACTGGAGAATTTGCGAGCACGTGAGCAAGCCGCTCGAAGGGAACTCGAGAATTTCAGAATCTGGAGCAAACCGCTCGAAAGAAACTCGAGAGATTTTCGAAAGAGACTAGATAATGCGAGAACACGGGGCAAACCGTTCGAAAGCAGAACTGGGGAATTTCAGCAGGAGCAAAACGCTCGACAATGACTAGAGAGCTTCGAAAACAAACTAGCGAATTTGAAAACAAGGAGCAAGCCGATCGAAAGGAACTTGAGAATTTCAGAGGAAAGAACGAGCCGCGCGAAAGAGACTAGAGAACTCAGGCTAAAGAATTTCGAAAAAGACTAGAGAGGTTGAAAACAGGAGCAAACCGCTCGAATGGAAAAAGAAGGTTTCAGAACTAGCGAACTCAGACTAGAGAATTTCGAAAGAGACTGGAGAAGGAGCAACCCGCTCGAAAGGAACTAGCGAATTTCAGAAGAAGGAGCAAACCGCTCGAAAGATACTAAAGAGATTTTCGAAAGCCCAAAAAACGCGAAAACACGGAGCCGAGCAAACCGCTCGAAAGGAGAACTTGAAAATTTCGGCAGAAGGAGCCAAATGCTCGAAAGCGACTAGAAAATCTCGAAAAAGACTAACGAAGGCAACAAGGAGCACACCGCTCGAAAGAGACTAGAGAACTCCGACAGAAAATTTCGAAAGAGATTAGAGCCTTTGAAAAAGTCGTCTTGCGTACCCCTTGCCACCCAAAGGTCTTAAAGAACGCCCTCTCCCAGCGGCAATGGGGTTTCGTTGGGCCGTGTGGGGGGCTTCAAATGGCCACTGAAGCAAAAAGAACAGATGAAGCCTCGAGGAAGACAGAAAGCACCTTGACAGGCCACAAGGTTCTCTACTTTTTGACAAGGATTCATCCAGACGTGCCGCTATCGCCCGAATTCGCCGGGTCTGACCACTGTCACCTCACCCTTCCTTTCGAGCGGTTTGCTCCTTGTTTTCAAACTCTCTAATCTCTTTCGGACTAGTCTCTTTCGAGCGGTTTGCTCCTTGTTTTCAAATTCTGTCGTCTCTTTTGAAATTCTTTAGTCTCTTTCGAGCGGTTTGCTCCTTCTCCTGAAATCCTCACGTTCCTTTCGAGCGGTTTGCTCCTTGTTTGAAAGCCCGTCGTTGGGTTAGGAGGGTTTCGATCTTAACATCTCGGGCCCGAGAGGAATCTCGATCCGGGCTGCAGCGGGGCTACTGAAAGCAGTGTCCGCTGAGGGGAAGGATTTGTTGGTCATGGATACGTGGCAGGGTAGAAGAAAAGCCGGTGTGCGGGAGAGGAAGTTTTTTTAGACCCTGTCCACATCACGTTGGTGGAGATACAAATAAGCCCCTGGACAGCGCAGAGGGCTGTCGTTGGACTCTGTCCATGCACGCTCGCCGGGCCTACCCAGGGCAGAGAAAAAGCCTTTCCGACAGTACCCCCAAAAAAACCTACGGGGACCAAAGAAAAATCCAGCCCATCGTGGTTTGGGGTTTAGGAGGTCGTCAAAAAGGGGTAAAGATAACAAGACAAGGACCCAGGGCGCTCAGAAGAGTCAGGACTTCCGGGCTGGTGGTCCCAGCGACAAGGCGTCCGAGGCTTGAGTTCGAGTCGAAAGCTCGATCGAGCCAAGGATTCAGCATAGGCCCAGGCAGGGGCTTAGGACATTTTAGGGGGTTTGGGGTGAGGGCAGAACTCTCTGGGGCTTAACTCAGGGCCTAGCCGCTTTATTGGAGGCTTTGGGGTCGGGGCGGTCTCCAAAGGAATCTCGCGCAACGCACTCGACTCGGTGATGCAATGAAACAGCCTGCCTGCACCTTGGCGTTCTCGGATGTCTCTGGGAGGAGCAGCAGCCTAATTCAGTCGGCAGGAAAGCCCAAACCCCACACTACTAAAGCCCGAATCCCAAACACTAAAGGCCTGAACCCTGATGCAAGCCCTAGACGCTTCAGCTGCGGGTTTTGGCTCAACTCACTTTTGAGGCCAGGCAGCCACCGCCCTCCCGATGGCTCCTCCAGAACCTCGCGATACTCCTGGAGCAGAGGGTATAGGGTTTCGGGTCTTGGGCTCAGGGTTTTTGGTTATTTTGGCTGGGGTTTAGAGATCTTGGCGTCAAAGCGGACTCATAAAACGGAGCAGACTTGCAAACGCGCTCGGAACTCGAACTCGGGATGCGTCCAACAGTACGGTGTGCATTGCAGGTGTTCGGCAATGAACCTGGGTGGCCTCAGAGGCGGGCACCCAAAGCAGGCAAGCGTCGTAACAGCTTTTCCCGAAGCTGAGGACGGAGGCCCCAAAACCCTCGATGCTAAACTCTAAAATCTCAACCCTCAACCCCTAAACTCTAAACCCGAAGTCTGGCAGCCCGACAGAACGTCACAGCACATCACAAAACTATACTATACTATACTATACTATACTATACTATACCATACTATACTATACTATACTATACTATACTATACCATTCCCTACTATCCTATACTGTTCTATACTACATTCTACTATACCGGACAGTGCGAGTCCCACACAGCAAGGGGCCTCATAAGTCGCCCAGACAAAGCCACCTGCAGCTGCTCCCAACCTTGGACATAGTATAGTATAGTATAGTATAGTATAGTATAGTATAGTATAGTATAGTATAGTACAGTATAGTATAGTATAGGGTTTAAGGTTTAGGGTCTAGGATTTAGACTTTGGAATTTTAAGGCTTTAGGCTTTAGGTTTTTGGGTTTGGGGTTTTGTGTTTATCAGGTACTGTAATAGAATAGTATAGCATAGTGTAGTACAACTTAGTGCAAAGTAAGAGTGCAAGACAAAATGATATAGCATAGTGCAAAATGTTGTATGTATACTATACTTACTATACTGTACCATACCATACCATACCATAATATGCTGTACTGTACTATACTATATTATACTAGACTAGACTAGACTGTACTACACTACACTACACTATACTACACTACACTACGCTATACTACACTACACTAGACTACACTAGACTACACCAGACACTAGACTATACTAGACGATAGTAGACTATACTAGACTATACTAGACTGTCCTAAACTATACTATATTATACTATTCTATCCGATACTATACTCTACGATACTATACTAGACTACTATACTAGACTGGACTATACTAGACTAGACTATACTTTCTAGTAGTATAGTATAGTGGAGTATAGTATAGTACAGTGCATTATAGTACAGTATAGTAGAGTATAGTATGGTATAGTACAGTAAAGTATGGTATAGTACAGTCTAGTATAATAGGGTATGGTATAGCATAGATAGTATAGCAGAGTATAGTATCTCAAACATAGTAAACATACAGTAGAATATAGCATGTATTCTCTTATGAGATAATATAATGTGGTGGCAAAATATAATGCGATATCTTTGGGGTTAGGGATTTTGCTTGTTAATGTCGGCGACGCCGCCTTGGCTTGAAATGCTGTTTCTGCAGCATTCTAGTTGTTCTTAGGCTGGGCTTCGAGTTGCAGCAATTCTTCATGCTGCAATTTGCGGCAACTCAATCTTAAATCCCGAAATCCTCAAACAAGCCTCCAGACCACAGGACCGCAGAACCGGAGGACTTGTATGTCACCCGTACGGGCTGGGTCTACAGAGATGACACTGCTGCAGCAAGGCCGCACTATGCCGCCAGTCTTGGTGATGAGGGCCAGACCTCCAGAGACGAAACGTGTGGCGAGGGCAGCATACTCCAAAGACTTTCGAGGCTTACAACTTGTAAAAGTATATGCCAATGCACAGCATGTGATGCTGTGAATAGTACTATGCCAGGGTACGAGTCAACGAGATATCAGCATTAAGCGATAAAAAACGAAGATCACATCATAGCATAGCACATCATATCACATCCCATCGGAGAACTTCATATCGCACGATATCATATCCGAACATGTCATATCGTAACATGTGTTCTCATGCCATGTCTTCCCATGTCATGTCATGCAAGGCCATGCAATGTCGTGTCGTAGTGTTGCATGGCAAAGCATAGAATATCATACCATAACATATAGCGGAACAGAATGCAACAGACTATAGAGAACAAACAGCTAACATCTGCTCGTATTGTTTATAGTATACAACTGTATTGCAATGTTCTATTGCACTGTACGACTGCACTATGTTATGTTACACTAGACTAGATTATGCTAGGTTTCAGTCGGCTGCGCTGGAATATACTAGAACGTACTAGAATGTACTAGGCTATACTAAAATACACTAGACTAAACTAGACTTTCCAGACTTGGCTAAGACATACCTCATTACACCATGTCATGTCCTGCGAGATTTTGCTAAACATTGCTATACCACGCTACATTATATTTTGCTACACTGCAGTTGTACTGTAATATACTGTGCTATATCTGCTGTATTTGGGGCACCTTGCACTATACTACAGCTTGTTATACTACATTATGCTGTATTGAGGAATGCTCCATTGTCGTATCTTGTAATAAAGCATTGTATCGCATAGCATAGCGTGGTACCGCTTGGCACGGTATAGGAAAGTCTTATACAGTGTAGTGTAGTACGGTAGCACACTACACTACAGTGTCGTATACGAAAATACACAGGGTAGTCTGGCATGGTGAGCATAGTACATAACCCTGTGTATTGTTTCAGCAGAGTACATCATGTCATAATGCAGCAACATACTATGCCATACTGTGTCTTCATGTTCTACTACACTATATCATGCAATAATACTCAATGACTCATTACAGTGTTTTTCGTCATATCATGCTGCATCATGATGTGAGCAGATGGAACGCAATGTAATCTAAGGTACCTTGCTGTGCCATGTAATGTTATGCATGCGAATGTAGCTCAGTGTTCTCTGGCCTGACTAAACTTAGATCTGACATCATACACGAAAACCATGCAATATACGATAGCATAACATGGCATGACATGATGTCATATGATGTGATCGGGTATAGTATGGTATACTATGGCATGGCATATGTATATATATATATATATATGTCATGTACACATGGATATATGTATAATTTACATATTACATACATACATACATTGGACATGTACATGCACAAACACGCAGTTGCCTGCCTGGTGGGAGCTGCCAAAGAAGACCTGCTGAAGCACCCAGGACCATGGCCTCGGGGACTCGTCTTCGACTCCACACACAGGCTCCGTGAAACCATGCATATAATGTTTGGAACAGAATGTAGACTAACTTAATTGCATCATAAAACAATACTATACTTACTATACAAGTAACATAGGTTATACGATACCAGACTATCTTGAATAGCATGTCTTCGGTAAGGTAGCAGTGAGCAAAGTCCCAAGAGAGCCCAGGACGCCTTGATTCTCGGAATCTACCTCCGATCATAGTCGGGATCCCTCTATGACGGAAGGGGGTTTAGGGCTTGGCATGGGAGGTTTTAGCAGAGTAGAGTAGGGTATATAGTATATTACCTAAAACACCCCTGTAGGTCTTGGGCTCTCTGGGTTCTGGTCATTTTCGCAAATAGAACACGCAGAAGTCTCTCTGTCTGACACTTCGACATGCCTGTACAGTGGTGTCGCACGACACGATCATGATGACCCCTGAACTCCCCCATCCCTTGCTCAGGACTGGAATAAGAGTTCTAACAGAATGGTCCGCAAGGAAGGGGAGAGCTCCTGGAGATCCGCACAAGCTGAAAATTGCGCAGGCCGCTTGCGGTTGGTGGCATCAAGTCAGCAAGGCTGACGGCCGTCACCGACTGCAGCTTCCGCGCGGAAAATGGAAGGCAACTCAAGAGCAGACTAAGCGCCTCAAGAGAAAAGAGCCAAGAAAAAACATGAGTGCTAAGTGCTAATTAAACATTTTGGATCTGTAGCAAGCTAGTCACCACCTTCCTTCACAATCTTGCCAATGCAGAAATCGATCTTTAGCCAGTCTGTTCCATGAAGGATCTCCAGCGCGAGCAGGGAAGGGATTTGAATCAAGTACATGGCGAGGAAGGGCAGGGGATCATCCCCAGAAAGCAGGGCGTCGCCGCCCTTGAGCATCTGCAGCACGCTGAGCTTGAAGCAGTTCTTCGGCTTCCAAAACCCGGCCAAGAGAAAGATCTGGTCCATGATCTCAGGGCACTTATGATGTAGGGCTTATGGCTTGCAGCACTAGGGCGCGGGATGTGCAAGACATTCGGGATCAACCTCTCGACTCCCAGGCAGCGACATGACACAAATATCTGAAGCAGCAAACAGCTTCAGCTTGACCTCCGGCACCCATCTGAATCAGCACCGTCCGGGTTTAGGGTTTAGGGTTTAGGGTTTACTCATCCCCCAGCAATCCCGCAGCCCACCCAGTAGCGAAATGTCTCGGGCTTGGATGTCACGATGTCCGCATCGCTCTCCGCAACGAAATCGGCATCAGCGAAAGCAGACGCGAGGTTCCTCTCAGGGTCTTCCACTGAGGCATAAAGAGACGATAGTAAGAAGACACCTGGTTGTAGGAACACCGGATTTCGTTAACCTCATCATCATCATCATCTGCTGCAGAATCATCGTCGATCGGGACACGACGTCTAGCAATCAAAGGATAAGTTGTGCAACTATCCCGCTCCTGTGGCCCTCCAGCGTGCACACCGCACTGTGGATGCGAGGATTGCATTCGATGGGCACCAGCTGTCCATGGGCAGTGTGCATCAAATCCAGCGTAAGCTGCCCCGTAAGGTTCATGCTCTTCCTGGGCGTTTCTTGAGAATTTCTTGGGCCCTTGAGAGGCTACCTTTCTTGTTTCCATCACAAGCATACACAAGTATACGAAGCTGAAAATGAAGACAATTCTCAAGAATGGCCTAGCTTCCCCAAGCCTTTGCACAGATCTCGGACCTCTTCGTACTGCTTCTGGAGCTGACGGTACACGAGGCACGAGGCTGCAGACTCAAAGAGCTCAAAGCCGGTAAGATGACCCTTATTGTAGAAGGCGTAGCAGCCGTACTCCGGCTCTTGCAGGACCTTCTGTTCGAGAATCAGCAACGAAAGAAGCTAAGACTCGTGGGGAAGGCAGGGGAAGAGCATGGGGACGGAAGTCAAAATTCCGGGGACGCGCCTCTTGAATGACGTAGGGAACTTCCTTGGTTGCGTTCCTGGAAGCGAGGTACTTCCACTGCCGCTCCTTGTCTTCAATAGGCAAGAAGAGAATCTCTGTGCGGGCTTTGGGGTCGTAGACGGCCGGCTTAACAATGAACTTCTTGCCATTGGGCTGAAGTGTCTCGAAGAACCTTAGGGCATCATCCAGGCAGGTCATCTGAGCGGTCTGTGGGCAGGGAAGTCCGGCATTCTCGAGCACCTGGTTGAAGGTGAACTTGTTGTCCAGCTCATCACTGGTTGGACCATCGAAGGCAAAGACACGGACGTTAGAAGGCAGCTTCTGCTTCAGGTGTGCGTAAGCCGTGCTTTCCACAGGAGCAGTGCAAGGAATGATGAGGTCGATGCTCTGCTCCTTGACGATTCTCTGGATGGTGGCCTCCCATTCTTTTGGATGGTTTGTCGGTCGTGGCAGCACGTAATGCTTGGACACATAACTGCAGAAGCGCGTATGGCAAAGCTGGTACGGCGAGATCTCAGCCGTAAAGACTGTGTGGCCTTCGCGACCTACAGCTCGCGCCACTGCCGAGGCCTTTGACATCTTGCCTCCTGTAACCAAAATTCGCAATGGCTTCTTCGCAGAATCCCCCTTCTCAAAGGTTCCACCGAACAGCTTGTGCCGTATCCAGGAGATGATGGCCAGAAGCGTGAGGAACGGCGCGAAGGCCCATAGGCACAGGATTGCCGTAAGGGACTTACCTCGCGCCCTCCACGTTCCTGGCCGACTTCCTTTTCCCAAGACCTTTGGAAGAACCTGTTTCTGCTTCTTCTCGGGCAAGGTCTTGGCTCCAAGTAGCCTCAGCCCATTGTCACCCGCCATCTTGCTCAGGGTAAGGCCCTGGGTGGTTTCTTCTGTTCTCGCAGACAGGCGCACTGAGGCAAATGCTGCAGTGCAGTCTCTCTCTCAACCCGAACTCAGCAGTTGTCACCGCAAGCACTTAGGTCACGATCAAGCCACCTGAGCCTGCCATCGTACATCCAGGTGCCGGGCACAAGATCCGTTTTCTCGGCGGAGTGCCAGGCAGACGGCAGTTAGCCGTGGCCTTAGGTGAGGGTCTGGGGGTGGTCGGGGAAAGGGTGAAGGCACTGAAGCTGTGCCAAATACAACGATTTGAGGCGCTGCTGGTCTTAAGACCTTACGAAAATGACCTCCACTTGGAGGTTCATGTGTAGTTACAAGTAGGGTTATAAGTCCCCTATTGCAGGTTATAACTATAGTTACCGTACTTATAACCCTACTTATAACTACCCATGAACCTCCAAGCAGAGACAGAACTGCTGCTGTCGCGAGCAAGCGGCGGAGGAGCTAGGCCATCCACAAAGCGCAGGAACTCGCTCCCTCAGGGCAATCGGTGTGGTGAAGCGACAGTGGCTGCTCTCAGTGCAGGATGACAGGTTGCTCTAACTTCGCATGTACCATGGTGTGATCTATGCTTTACCATACTCTTCTGTATAACATATACCATACCACAGCCCACGATTATATATACCAGAACCTACTACAAAATGCTACCGTATGCTCTTACATGCTGTTCCGCTTCGACGGGGGAGAGCACAGACAGGTCCCCGAGGCTCGCCGGGCGCCGGGCGCGAGACCAGGAAGCCCACCGAGGCCGTGATGCCAGCCAGGAAGAGCGTAACACAGAGGCCTTGGAGGTTCATGGGTAGCTATAAGGGGTTCCTTTAAAGGGTTCTACGGGGTTTAGGGTTTAGGGTTTAGCGCTTAGGGTTTGGAGGTTCATGGGTAGGCATAAATTGGGTTATAAGTAGGATAGGTATAATTATAACCCATATTAGGGGCTTAGAACCATACTTATAAGCACCCATGAACCTCCAAGGCCTCGGGCATAGGGTACTTGGGGCTTGCGGGCTTTGGGGCTTAGGGTTTAGGGTTAAGGGCTCAGGGCTTAGCGCTGAGGGTTGAGGGCTTATAGGCTTAGGGAGAGCCTCCCAAAAGGAGTCTCCCAAAACCGTTTTCAGCGGCTTGTACGAGGTCGCGCTATGTTTTGGTACCAGTGTTAAGGGCTTTGTGCTTTACAGCTTTTTAACCTAGGGTAAAAGGTCTGAGGCCGTGACGGTCTAGGGGCTCAGGGCCCATTTAGGCACTATTGTCGGGTTTGGAGCTCTTCGAGGGCTTGGATCGAACCTGCTCCCCTGACGACTTGGGAAGCGGCTCATCATCCGAGTGGCTCCCAGCAACCTCAGCAGAACCTCGGGCAGCGACACACACACGCACACCGGGCCCAAACCCGAAACCCCATGCAAAGCCTAAAGCCCTAGAACCCTCAACCCCTACACCCTCAACCCGCAAACCCCAAAGACCATGAACAACCTTCAGCCCCAAGACGCCAAAAACCCCTCGATCTCCTCCCGCATTCCGGTGCTCTCAACCCGTACTGAGAGCCGGGGCTTGGCGGTTTCTGAGGAGCGTGGACAGGTAGAGCTGACACTCCAGCGCCTGCAAGCTGCGGTTTATAGGGTTTTAGGGTTTCGGGTTGAAACGGACCCGATGGAAGTCCTATGCCCGGACGAGGCGGAAACCCTCGTCCCTCAACCCTACACGAAGCGACAGACCCTAACGCCTCAACCATAAAACCTAAAGCCCACCTGTGCCTGCAGCAAGCCGAGCAACCAGTGCCGGGAACCTGAGAGCAAACTTCAGCAGGGCGGAGGGATTCTTCTTTTCTGGGTTACACGGCTTCTTGAGGACCTTAGCGTTTGGGGTTTAAGGTTTTTGGTCTTTGGATGTATAAGGGTTTATGCTTGAGTGTGTAGGTATTTATAAGGTCTTCAGGGTTCGGTAGGGCATTGCGGGGCGGGGCTTCACCGCGTGGCAAGTTTTGGGGCCTGGTAGGGATTCATGTGTTTTGTCAGGCGCAAAAGGCTTTCTGGGTTCTCTCGCAACTCACTATATCCTGCTTTTCTGAAGTTTTGCTGCTTCTTCTTTGGTTTGGATTAAGCTTCGTAAGCTTAAGCCTTGGACCCAAACTCTGAACCCCAAGCCCTAAACCCTAAACCCTAAACCCTAAACTCTAAAAAAAACCAGGCCCACAACCCAAATCCTCTTCGAGGCTCCGGCGGAGCGCCCCGAAGGAGGGGAGGCCGTGCAGAGCCCTGCCTTCCTGACCCAAGAAGTCCGTGGCGCCTCTGGCAGTGGCCCAGGGCTTGGGAACTACGCCAAGAGCTGCAAAAGCCTAGGGTTTAGGGTTTAGGGTTTAGGGTTTAGGGTTGCCCTCTCCTCTCTTTTCAAGCAGACTTTATCCTGTGTGAGACTCTGGGCAACGAGCCTAGCGCCACGATCACCACCAGCACTGCCCGCTGTTCCAGAGTTGCCTGGCACCATGCCGACCCCGATTCGTCCAGATGCTCAGCTGCTCGGGAACCCGGAAGACCCGCCTGCCCGCGTGCGGTTTCCGAGCCTTCCGGCGCCTTGCAGCAAGCACAGTATATCAAATTATATTATATGATATTGTATGATTATATGACGTTATATTGTATTACTGTATTACTTTCTTTGAGATTAGATTATAACATATTATAACACTATCGAATCCAACGGATTGGGACGAGTGGATCACTGTCGGGCAGGCGCCTGCATACGCTGCCAGAGTCTCAAGCACGCCCAACCTCAGCACAGGCCGCAGGACCTGAATGAACACTAGAAAGTCTGAGATCCTACTACTTGGAGGCTTTTTGGGTAGTTATAAATGGAGTTTTTAAGTCCCCTCTTACAGGCTATGGCTATAACTATATAGCTACCCTGCATCTAGCCCCACTTACAACTACCCACGAGGCTCCAAGTGCCTCCAACCCACAGTCTGAGCTCCGGGCCTCCGAGTAGCAAGAACAAGATCCCACCACCCTCCTCGATGCCAGAGCTGGCCATGGGTTTCCTGCAAACGGACACCGACGTCATCCTCTCCTATGATGTTTAGGCTAAATCCTCCAAAAATCCAAAAAAAAACCAACCCTAAGCCGCTGTGAGCTCTTTTCAGTGGGCCTGAGAAGCCCCTCCACAAGCAGGCGCGTGGCAGCAAAGGCGGAAAAGAGCCTCGGAGGCAGGATCAGTTGAAGCTGAAGTGCCTTCTCTGTCCGAGGGCCCACCTGTACCCCTTCAAGTAACGAAATGTGCCCCACATGATAGAAGGATCCTTATGAAAAAAACGATGTTTAACTCATTGTGGGGCACCTCTGAAAAGGGGTCCCGACATATCATGACTTCATGGGTCAATTGGGCTCTTTGGGGTCGGCATCCGGTCTGAGAAGCCCACGGTAGCAAGGCCTGCACGAGAAACACCGAAGAAGTCACCAACTCGGGCTGCTCGGAGAAGGCGTCCAAGAGCTGCCAACGCCTTGGGAAAGGATCCCACCCAAAGGACTTCGGAGGTCTTGGAAGTTGCCGTTTAGGGGTTTAGGGTTTAGGGTTTAGGCAAGACGAGATTAGAACGCAAGTTGGGCGGAGGGGGCAGGGAAGAGGGCTTATGCTGCCTGCAGCTAAGTTTCAGCACGACGACCACAGCCACGAGGATCGCCAGGACTGCCTTAAGGTGTCGGGTTTATGCACCCTAAACCCTTGAGACCCCCTGAACAAAACCACCTAACACCCGTAGACCCTCAACCCTGGACACTGACCCCACAAAAACCCAAATCCTAACTCTTCGGACGCTCCCGGCCGGTTTCGGTTGCGGCCAAGTGCGAGGAGCAGGGGAGCTGCGAGGCCACCCAGCAGCGGCGAGGAAAGCTGCAGGAGTTGGAAGGCCTAGCCCCACAGAAGCATTCAGAGTTCCAAAGATGGTCGCCACGGTTGGGGTTTAGTAGCTTGTGGGTTGAGGGCCGACTTGCGGGGTTTCGGATTTCGGGCGCAGGGTCCACCACCACCACGAGAAACCACGACCACGTGCTGCTGGTCAGGCTCATCCGTTTTTTTGTGATATGGACTTCCACTGATACAGATTGCGATTGGTGCAAAGTGGCGACTGTCGCTGATGCCCTTTGAATGTACTGCTTCTACTCTACCCTGATAGTGAGTCCAACTACTCCCTAAACCCTAAACCCTAAACCCTAAACCGAAAAACCCTAAACCCTAAACCCCAAACCGAAAAACCCTAAACCCTAAACCCCAAACCGAAAAACCCTGTAGACCTTCTCTTTCGCCTCGACCGAGGGAAACCCGGTGCGCCGGATCCGGGGCCCGGGCCGCGGCCAGCAGTGTTGGGGCCGCAGCCCCAAGGCCCAGCAACCCCAGGAGGGCCTGAACAGAAAGTGCTAGATTCAGAATTGTTGGGTTTTGGGGGTTTAGGGTTTAGGGTTTAGGGCTAGATTCAGAATTTTTGGCTTTTGGGGGTTTAGGGTTTAGGGTTTAGGGCTAGATTCAGAGTTGGGATTTTGGGTTTGGGGGTTCTAGGCCTGGGGTTTGGAGATTGAGGCCCCACTGCAATAGAAACCCCTCATGTGAACCCTACAGGTAGTAGAGACCGGAACCAATGATTCAGCTCCATGGTCAACCCTCGACTCCACTATCAGCCTATATTAGACACCATTTTGACAAAGGCCTCTCAGCCCAAGAATGAAAGCCTGAAACCCCATGATGAAACCCTAAAGCCCCAATTGAAACCCGAAAACGCGAATATGAAACCCTTTAGCCTCCGCCATGAACCCCTAATGACCCCACCGTTATAACCCCAACATAAACCCTCTTCCTCCCCATTCTTCTAAGCCACTAGATAAGACCTGTAACCTTATGAACCCTGACAAAAAGAGCCCTATAACCCCAAATATAAGCCCTATAGACCCTCATATATGGAGACCTATAGACCCCAGCATAAAAAACTTCTAAACCCAATCCAAACCCCGATCTGAGACCTAGAAACCCCAAACATCAGACCTACTTGGAGGTTCATGGGTAGTTAAAAATTGGAGTTGTAAGTCCCCTAACCTGGGTTATAACTATAGTTACCCTACTTATAAACCTACTTATAACTACCCATGAACCTCCAAATACCTCAGCTGAACCAAAGCAGAGCCGCCGGATGTGCAGACTCGGAGGCTCTGGAGGGCTGAAAAAGCAGGGCTGCCCTGGCAAAAGGGGGAGCAGAAGGGGGCTTTTGGGGGCTTTTGGGGGCTTTTGAGGGCTTTTGGGGTTTAGGGTTTAGGGTTTGGGGTTCAGGGTTTCGGGGTTTTGGGGTTTGGGGGTGTAGAGGTTTAGGGGTTNNGGGGGGGGGGGGGGGGGGGTTTAGGCGTTGGTTCCGGGATGTCATCGGATCAGAAGTAGGGATGTTGTGCCATGTCAAAGAACCGTACAGGGTCTTGTAGGTTCCTCAGGGTTTCAATGGTGGGCTTCGGGAAGTTTAGGGCTTGGAATTTCGGATTTGAGAATGCACGGCAACCCTCTTGGGATCAAAGGCTGTGAAGGAACCCGTCACAGCCCCTCCCCTCAGAAAGGATCCCTAAACCNNAAACCCTAAACCCTAAACCTGAATGATCCCTGGTCGACCTGGACTGTGGAACAGACCGAACTTCAACCGGAAGCCAGCCTGCGGACTGTTGCCACCAGAGGTCCTTCTGCGTCCTGCCGCAAGCGATTTAGGGTTTGAGGTTAGGGTCTTTTCTTTTAGAGCACCTTTTTCCACCTAGCAGTCAAGGTCGGCAGAATCCAGGGTTTAGGGTTTAGGGTCTAGAGATTCTGAGGGCCGAAGGGTCGAAAAGAGATGGCGGGCCATGTCTGAAGCTTCCGTCCTGACCGTCAGTTGCGGAACGCTCAGAACAGATCGCGGCCGCCAAATCGTAGAGATCCTTAGCTGATGTACATCAACAGCCCTAGACGCCCGATAGAAACTACATGGGTTTAGGGTTTAGGGTTTAGGGTTTAGGGCTTAGAAGCTACATGGTGACGCTGATCGAAACCCTTCTGGAAGCTAGAACCTGAGCCCCACACGGCAGCGCTCCGCCAACCGGTGGATCGCTGCACCACCTTCTCACGAACTTGCCGGACAGCTGCGCAACGTCAAAAAGTAGGAATCTCGGAGAGCAAGGAAGTGATAGACCCTGACCCTGAATTGTAAGATCCTGGTTCCAAGGATCTGAACTATGCACTCTACCCCTCATACGATTCCCAAACTAACGTTCCTCTGCCCAGAAACGGCCCGACCCCAAAGCACCTGCCGCGCCAGGCCATGACCGAGGCCCTTGGCCGCTCGCACGGCGGTGCTCGGCGTTTTGCCGCCCGCGGAGTCACCGGCGGCAGGGCCAACGAAAGCATCGTCCGCACTGCCCGGCGTGCCTCCGGTAGGATTAAGGACCTAGGAATTTGGGAAGTAGAGTCGTTCAGTCGCTGTTGTTCAAGGTTAGTTCAAGGTTTAGGGTTCTGTATGGGATTAGTTTAGGGCCAGAGGATGTCTCAAGGCTCGAGCCCGCCTGGATCTGCGCTTGGGGCCTCCTCGGGCCCATTGCCACCCGGCAGCACGCAGAAGAAGAGAAGGCCCTGCAGGCGGTGATTGGGACGTATAGGGCAGTTTGGGGTCTCGGGCTTCAGTTTGCGCATCTCGTGCCTGGACATCGGGATCCTCTGCGTCATGGCCTCGTGACACAGGGGAGATAGCCGAGTCACTCCGGGGAATCTGAGGCAGCCGCCAAACATCTCCGCAACCAACGCAGCCAGCCGAAGGCGAACATAGATGGTGTAGCCTGGTGCGCATGACAAGATATCCGATATCCCGCAACAACAAGTCCTGACCCACGAATCAGCCCGAAGGCCCTAAACCCTCAAACTCCAAAACCCGAAACAACCTTACAAACCTGAACTCTAACTCTAACTATATAACCCAACAAACACAAGCCCTTAACCTCATCCTCATTCCTTGTGTCCAAGGAGCTCAGGAAAGCCCCTGCGCCCACCACCGGCAAGAACCGCATCACCAGCAACTCCGAAACCTCCGACAGAGCCGAAGCAAAAAAAGATTCAGGGTTTTGTGCCCGGGTTTGGGCGGTAGGGCTTAGGGTCGAATTAGCAATAAGAAGAAGGAACAGGAGAAGACGAAAACTTGCAATACAAGTTGTATCAGGAGCATTAAGATGGACAAGACAAGAACGAATAGTGGTGTTTATGGTTGTACTCGTATGCATGAACGAATAACACAACCAGTCATTGAAACTCATGATGCTAGTAGTATTAAAAACTTACGGTTACTAACTCTTAGCATTGCGCTCCAAGCGCCTGACCTTGCGAAGAACGCGCTGGGACATTCCGCACTCCCCATCATCCTTCTCTGCCTCCGGCAGCAGGGCTAAGGGAAAATGACAATCTGTCTTAGGGCAAACCAACCCCACTAAAAGCGCAGGTGAAACCAATCCAATGGCAAACATCTGGAAATTGAGAATGCGTCAAGGTCAAACGCCCGTGCTTTTTGACCTCAAACGTTGTATATCCGATTGGTGATCAGCGGCCCTTCCTTTATCCCCTTTTCCTTCTCTTCTTCTGCTGAACTTGTCCGAAGACAAGGTCGAATCTTCTCTTTGAATCTCTTCCCTACCACACATGCCGAAAGGAGTGATTCGGTTCTATTCTGCAGGAATCCCGGAGGAAGAGAGCGACGTTTGATTCTATCGGTCGAGGGGCAAGAGTTCCTACAAGGGCTGTGCAGCTTCTTGCATTGGTTCTGTAGGGTTTAGGGCATGTTCTCTGTCCAAACCGTTTAGCAAGCCCTAAACCCTGAAGCCTGAAACCTAAACCGTGAACCCTGAAACCGGAAACCCTGATAAACCCCCATTGGTCCGCCTGGGCGAGCAAGGCTGCCACGGCTGCAGCGGCCGTGCCGTGCTCTCCGACCTCGGACCAGCCCAGGCTTTCACAGGGCAAAGTTTTGGGTTTCAGGGTTCATGGGTTCAGGGTTCAGGGTTTAGGGTTTAGGGTGTAGGGTTTAGGGTTTAGGGTTTAGGGTTCAGGGTTCAGGGTTCAGGGTGTCAGGGCTTCAAGCTTTCAGGATTTCAAGCTTCCAGCCGGGGGCCGGGCTGCACGACGTGCTTCCACACGGGCCGAAGGGATGCCGAGTGAGGGCAAACCTGCAGTCATCCCCGGAGATGCTGAAGTATAATAGAGTATGATATACTATACGGTGATATATGATAATATACTATAACAGACTATAGTCAAAGCCTTCCAAGACTCTTTGACTTCGCCCTGCTTCAACGTCCTAGAGTCTGGGCCACCCGACCTTTCAGCACCGGCTCGAGCACGAGCAGAACGACCGCCTCCACCGTCGTCTCGATCCTGCAGTAGACCTCCGAAAGCTGGGGTTAGGGTTTAGGGTTTAGGGTTTAGGGTTTAGGGTTTAGGGTTCAAGGTTTGGGCTCAAAGCTCAAGGTCGCCCGCTGCACTCCACCCTTGATCGGACGCTTTTGTCCGCGACTCTGCCCTGTGGCAGCTGCGTCAAAGATGTGAAACGGATGACTTGAGCCAGGACATGAGCAACCTGCTCTCTTCGGCACATACTGCGGTTTTCAAGCTTCCACCGTTTCTGCGATACTCGCATAAGTCCTGAAACCCCAAAAACCGCGCATGGCTGGCCCAGGAAGCTGCTTAGCAGGCCATCCTCCGAGAAGAAACGATTCGCGACCCGCTTCTGATAGCATCCTCCCTATTACAGTTACTAGAGTTTTGTTACTATTATATGACAACAACTGCCATTCAATATCGCTGTATTGGCAGCATGTCTAAAACATATGACGAAGGCGAAACGACCACGACGACGACGACGACCACCACCACCACCACCACCACCACCACCACCACAGCTACGACCACTACGATCACGACCACGACCACGGCGACGACAACCACTTTGCACGACCACGACGACGACGGTCACGACTCCCACGAATCCTGATACCACGGCGACTACAACTACGACTGCTGCTGCTGCTACTCCCGCTTTACCACATACTACGCCTCCTACGACTACTGCTACACTACTACTAC